CCAGGAGACTGGTTGGTTGGAAAGATATCCTATGTTCATGGAAGATTTAATATGTCAATACTACCCAAAGCAATCTACAGATTCAATACAATCTCTGTCAAAATCTCAAGGGACACTGAAAAGCCAAAACACTTTTCAATTTTAAAAAACCAAAGTTGGAAGTCTCACACTTCCTCAACTCAAAACTTACTACAAAGCTACAGTAATCAAACTGTGTGGTACTGGCATAAAGACAGACATAGACCAATAGAACAGAACAGAGAGCCCAGAAATAAGCCCTCACAAGTATGGTCAAATGATCTTCGACAAAGGTGCCAAGACCAGCCAATGGGGAAAAGAACAGTCTCTTCAACGAATGGTACTGGGAAAACTGGATATCCACATGCAAAAGAATGAAGTTGGATCTTTACCTAGCATCACACACAAAAATTAAGTGGACAAAGACCTAAATGCAATAGCTAAAACTACAAAACTCTTAGATGAAAACATAGGGGAGAGCTTCGTGACATTGGATTTGGCAGTGATTTCCTGGATGACAACAAGAGCAAAAACAGATCATTAGATTTCATCAGAATTAACTTTTGTACACAAAAGGACATTATCAACTGAAAAACAACCCAAAGACTGAGAGAAAATATTTGCAAATCATATCTGATAAGGATTTGCTATGGTTTGGATGTTTGTCCCCTCCAAACCTTGAGGTGGGGTCTAATGGGAGGCGTTTTGGTCCCGGCGGCAGATCCCTTATGAGTAGATCAGTGCCCTCCCTTGTGGGTGAGTGAGTTCTCACTCTGTTAGTTCCCACAAGAGCTGGCTGTTAAAGAGAACTTGGCATCTCCCCCTCTCTTGCCCCGTGATCTCTGCAAACCCTGGCCCTCTTTCTCCTTCCGTCATGAACAAAAGCATCCTGAGGCCCTCATCAGACACAAATGTCAGTTCCGTGCTTCCTGTACAGCCTGCAGAACCAGGCGCTAAATAAACCTCTTTTCTCTATAAATGACCCAGCCTCAGGTATTTTGTTATAGCAACACAAAACAGATTAATATCCAGTATATGTAAAGAACTCCCACAACAACAAAAATCCCCAATTCAAAAATGGGCAAAGGATTTGAATAGATATTTCAATAAAGAAGATAAGCATATGACAAGATGCTCTATCACTAACCATTAAAGAAATGCAAATCAAAACCACAAGATACCACTTCATGCCCATTATGATGGCAACTATCAAAAGAACACAACAGAAAATAAGTTTTGGAAGTATGTGAATAAACTGAAACTCTTACACAGTAAGTAGGAATTTAAAATGGTGTAGCCACTATGGAAATGTCAGTTCCTCAAGAAATTTAAAATGGAATTAGCATTTGATCCAGCAATTCCACTTCTGGGTTTATGCCCAAAAGAATTAAAAGCAGGAATTAGAACAGATATTTGTATACCCCTGTTCGAAGCAGCATCATTCACAATAATTCACAACAGCCAAATGTGAAAGCAACCCAGGTGTACACAGATAAGTGAATAAACAAAATGCATGTGCTCTTGCTCTCTCTATATATAGGAATATTATTCAGCCTTTAAAGAAATTCTGCAGTATGTACATCATGGATGAACCTTAAACATTATGCTTAGTGAAATAAGCCAATCACAAATGACAAATACTATATGATTCCATTTATATGAGATACTTCTTTAAACTCATAGCAGAAAATAGAATGATGGTTGCCAGGGGCTCGGGGGAGAGGGGAATGGGGAACATGAGAAAGTCTGGAGATGACAGTGGTGATGGTTGCAGAACAATGTAAAAATGTACTTAATGCCAGCACTTAAAAATGGTTAAAATATACTTAAAATGAGATATGTACAAATCACTACTAATCAGGTAATCAAGTACCAACTGAATGTCCAGTAGATTTTGTGCTACAAAATTAATTCACTTTTTTTCACTTGTAATGTTTACTTGTTCTCAAAATGAAATGCTTAAACTTACATATTACAGAAACAAATGGTCAGTACCAGGTGATACATTGTAACAAAGCTAGAATTTTACATAAAATATTCATCTATTACATATCTAAAACATGTTTTTGTTTTATATTCAACTCATTCATTGTTCATGTTATTTATCTGGGGATTAGAATGTGGAAACAATATTTAAAGAATAATTGCATTTGGAATTCTTTGTTTGCATATTGCCATCTTAATTAAGAACTCTGCTGCATCCTAAATTTAAAACACATTATAGATTTAAAATCTACAATACAAAAAAGCTTTGTTTTTAAATATCCTGCCTCTGTCCCTCAAGACTGAAATTCTAAATGAAAAAAAGGGAGTTACCTGAGAGCAACGACTGGTCTTGGAAAGTGCACCGTGTTCTGCAGACACCTGAATTGTTATGTGCTCTTCGATTTTTTCTATCGTAGCAGAACTTTCCCATAGCAATTTCTAGTAAGAGAAAAGTCAGTCTTTAAGATTGAAAGTACCTTCTTTTGAGTTTTTATTTAAAGCATAAACATCCATTATTAAGCAATGTTTTTGACATTTTCTTTTATGATGAAAATTGAAGAACTGGAGATTATGAGACCTATAACCTGTAATAGGAACAGTGACCGGATCCAATAAGACAAAGCAAAGTTTGCAGCTTTTTTGTTTCTTTGGGAAAATGATTCTGAATCATCTTGAAAGTAACTTTTCATAGAACATAAGGTGAACTTAGGTCTCCGTGGCAACTTAAACCTATTTACGTAGCATTCTTTTAAGAGTTTAACATATTGATCAATTTTCTGTGAAACAAAATAAGATTAAGTGTCCCATATGGCCTGGATACTCTTTTAATCCTTTTTCAAATACTGTCATCTCAGAATTCCTAATATTCAGATTATTTGGTGACTTTAGCTAATAGGAACCTAACATCTAGAAATAGTCTAAGTGGAGTTTTGGTGGTTTTTGTCTTTGGTCCTTTGCAAGACACAATAAAAAGCCTGGCAGAATGTAGAAGAGTTTAGACATTTCTCCCTTTTTAACTAGAATTTATCTTCAGCTTAGGTAGAGTTAACGATCACTGTGTTTCTATTGGGTTACTCTCGCGTTATGCTAGGCTCTGTGGTTTTCTGGTTAGCAAAGTCACGCTGAAATACCAAAAGAGCTGATGAGAGTGTCAGTAATCAAGGCTAAAGTCTGCTAGGTGCAGTCTAGAAATACAGGCAAAACATTTTCATAAATATTACAACTGATGCCACATCCATGCTTCTACATTATTTTTCAGATTATTAACACTTTCTGCTCTCAAATTCATCAGCCAGCAGGGGCTGGACTGGTTAAACAGCTTGCCAGGTTAGCAGAACTTATGTGAAAGAAAATGTATGTACTTCAAAATTCCAACGTTTGATTCTGCTTCATATACCAGTTATATAACAGCCAAGGAATGTTTTTTCCTTCTGTGAAAATCAACCTGGAGATAAGTACCCTCATTTCCAAAAAATATGCAAGGCAGAAGGAAAACAATTAACATCATACCCAGTAAGGAAGTGATCAGCTAGCATCATCTTTCACTTTAGGCATGAGGTGTGGTTGGTCAGAGGTTCACTGAGGAGCCCAGCATCGCAGGGCTATTTGGGGGCAAAAGTCTGCCTGGAATGTAGGTGTTGCAGCTCTCGGATGAGTCCTTTTCCTTCATTTCTGTTTAGAAATGAAATTGAGTACAGCCACCTCTACAAAGTAAGTCTTTTATATTGTCAGGACTTACGGTTACTAATAATTACTTAAAAGCTGAAATCAATGGCAGAATCCTCAGAACTGACACGGGCATGTACAATTCATTGCACACTCGCCACACACGGCCTCAGCTGGACTGAGAATGTGACCCAGCGTGAGTAAAGCCCGAAGGAATGACCATTCATCAATTAAACAAGTATTTATTGAGTAACTAGCATGCACAAGGCTTCATATTTCTTGCTACTAATAGCCCTCTGAGTTTTCCGGTAATTTATTTTAAGGAGGAAAAATACAGTTTGCTATTTTTAAACCCACATACTTCAACAAGGGAACTGATTTTGATTGTTGGTGTGATGAGTTTGAGAGTTGTTCGGGGAAGTGAAAATGATAAAGGAAGACATTTTTCCTAAACATAAGGCTGGTAATAAGTCCATCCAAGGAGTGATCAATACACATTTAATTGGTTTATTACAATAGTAACATCTCTTTCCAGTAAGTGAATACTTAAAATCTACTTAAAGTGATTGCTAGTAAGAATTGATAAAACCTAGCAAAGTCTCCTGTAGCTTCCTTTGTTAATATAGAAATTGAGATTCAGTAATCAGTGACTTGGGCCTGGGTAACAAAGTAGCTTCTCATTTTAAGTAAGAGGGCACTGTAAGTGGAACAAATCAATCTTACCAGAATATATTCTGCAGTTCTTCTCCTGTTGCAAGAAGTGGGGGGACAGGAGTTAATGAGAGTGCTAGCCAGGGTTAGCAACAGGAACATACCTTGTAAAGCTCATTTAAGCCACTTGGGTGGAGCAGGTGTCCAGGAAGAGATGCTGCCCAACCACGGGTCTGGGGCGTGGTGGAGGGATTCATCAGGCTCTGTAACAGACTATCACATTTAAATTAGCCAGGGACAATGTGACCTGTGTGGCAAGTAAACCTTATGACTACCTTATATCATTTATCATTTTTACAAGAGTCTTGGACTTTTTTCCCTGCCAAAAAAGGGTGGTTCTGACCATTTTTCTGAGAAAACACTAGACTTTAGTCAATGTAACCTTATTTAGCTTTAGCTGTTCATTGCTGCTGGGACAAAGTCTACATAATTCACTGCACTGAGGCAAAGCATGTCATTCCACCATCGCAGTCTCAGACACAATAGTATGTTTTTCCTTTGTTTCTTTTCTACTGGACTTTTTTTTTTAAAAAAAGAGGTCATTCTCTCGTAATTCCAGTTTTTCTGTTTTCACGGTCATTGATTTCACAGACTTGTTCCTTTTCTGCCTTTTCCGCCAGTTTACTTCAGTGTCCCCAGCAGTTCCTGAATTCTTGAAAACTCCTGCGACTGCGGATCAGCCTCCCGCAAGGTCCACAGCTCCCGTCCTCCCCACAAACACCGTGTCCTCAGCGAAGCCTGGCCCAGCACTCGTAAAGGTGGGTACTCTGGACACACTGGGTTGCGTGGCTTTACCTGCGACTCTGTAGCCCTGTGAACGGAGGTCAAAGGCGTTGTTCTAAGTTACCCAGCCTGCCTTTTAGCCTGAAGGACGGACTTGCTAGACCAGAGCCTTTGTGTATGAAACCGCCACCTTCAACAAGTTGTCCTGTAGTCACAGGAAAATAGCAAAAAATGTGGTCCATATGAAACTACTGGGGCTATGCAGAAAGGCTTTAGGAGTCATTTTATCAGCAGTTTCCAATTCTGCTGCCAACCAGGCCACTAAGATGAAACAGAGAGAAACAGAGTAAGGTAGAGTTGCTTCAGCACAGCACGTGAGATCCGTGAGTCTCACGAACAGATGTCTTTAATGGTAACACGGCTTTGGACTTTATGTGCGAGGTCAACTCGGCGGTATTCCAGATGTATTATGCTACAGGTTAAAGGCTCTAGAGAAGCAGATATGTTTTCTGATTTAGCAGATTTGGCTAGATGAAGCTTGGTTTGTTCTTCAGATAAGCTTCAGATTTGTGGCACTGTTCCCCCCTACATTTCACTTGGTTGAAACAACTCAGTTGGAATAAATCCCAAGGAAGATTAAAATTTTTAATATACAGTACATTTTTAAAGTTCTTAAAATTACGTTTAGACCGTCTAAATAAAGTAGGGGGGTAATAAACTGAGGAATAGTTTAATCGTTTCAGAGATGGCTTTTGCCAAAACTAGCAGAATATAGATAACAAATTCTTTTTTTTTTTTTTCTTTTGAGACAGAGTCTCACTCTTTCTGCCTGGGCTAGAGTGCCGTGGCGTCAGCCTAGCTCACAGCAACCTCAAACTCCTGGGCTTAAGCAATCCTTCTGCCTCAGCCTCCCGAGTAGCTGGGACTA